TTGTAACAGGGTTTTTTTGGTATATTTGATGGTCATGGAGGAGTGAAAGCTGCAGAGTTTTCAGCAGAGAACTTGAATAAGAACATTATGAATGAACTAGGGAAGACAACAGATGACAAAATTGAAGTGGCAGTGAAAAACGGCTATCTTAAAACAGATACTGAATTTCTCAGCCAAGAAGTTCGGGGTGGATCATGCTGCGTGACAGCGTTGATCCAAAAGGGCAATCTAGTTGTATCCAATGCTGGGGATTGTCGTGCTGTTGTGAGCAGAGGAGGGCTTGCTGAGGCATTGACCTCTGATCATAGGCCTTCAAGGAAAGATGAGAAGGATAGAATTGAGGCATCGGTAAGCAGCTTGACGATGAAATTATGCTTAGCTATGTGCTACCCTAATCGTTAAATATGCATAGTAGCTGATCTTCTTATGATTTGTGTTCTATATAGGGTGGCTATGTAGATTGTTGTCACGGTGTTTGGAGAATTCAGGGATCCCTCGCTGTGTCGAGAGGTATTGGGGATCAGTACCTTAAACAATGGGTAACAGCAGAACCTGAGACGAAGATTCTTGAACTCAATCCTGAATTGGAATTCTTAGTCCTAGCATCTGATGGCTTATGGGATACCGTTAGCAACCAGGAAGCAGTAGATATTGCTCGGCCTTTGTGCACTGGCATCAGTACACAGCAGCCATTGTCCGCGTGTAGAAAGCTTATTGATCTCTCTGTTTCGCGAGGTTCACTTGATGATATAAGTGTGCTGATAATTCAACTGGGACGATTCTGTTGACAGATACCCAATATAGGTTAGGAATTCTTTCTTTACTAACTCGCAGATGAATTGCTAGCCAGAGATTTTTACCAGAATAACAGTTAGATCAATTATTAGTATGAGGTTTTTAACTCTGTAAATCAAATTGTTATGTGACTTCAGATCAGTTGAAATGATGAGGAAAATTCCTTTTTTTATCCATTTGTTCATTAGGCGATGTTTACTATATTATTATGAGCAATCGTTTTTTAATCATTAAACATTCTAAGATTAAAAAACGATGTTCATTAGGCGATGTTTACTATATTATTATGAGCAATCGTTTTTTAATCATTAAACATCCTAAGATTTTATTGAGACGGATATGTACAAGTGTGAATCCTAATGCTAAAAGCTTTATACTTGAAGTCGTGGTAGTTAAATAGAGTGGGATATTATATTCCCAAGATTGAGATTCGTAGATATGTTAGTAACGAATTCTTGATCTATAACTTCAATTCAAAACTTTTTCAAGATCGTTTTTTTTTTTTCAATGATGTCAATATCGTAGTATGTATGATAGACCAAATCATTTGGTTAAAAGAAAATAAAGTTATAAATTGGAGAATGTTATTTTTATTAAACAATTGTTTATTAGCATAAGGAAGAGATTTGATAGGTTAAGTTAGGTCTGATAATGGAGTTAAATATTCAAATGCAGTCAAATGTCAATAATTCAACTCTATATGGTCCTATTATGTGAACTAAAAGACTTCCTAATATGTAAAATCATATTCTCAATCGGATCAAGTCAAATATGTAATTCCAAGAGAAGAAATTACACTTTTGCTCTTCCTATTATACCCTAAAAAATAATTTTTAGGGACAATAAATATTGATATTAATAAAGATCACTAAAATTTTATTAATATTAATTAAGTGTCATTAAAACTAATATTAAAACTAATATCGCTAAAGTCTTTAGAGACATATATAAAAAGTGTTATTTGTCGCTAAAAATACATATTTCACGGCAATTAATTCAGAATCGATTATCGTTACCGCCAGTGATCATTTTTTGTGTAATTAAACAGGTTGATCTATCCTTATTTTTTTGCCTATTAAATATGTTTGATATTTAATTTTTATCCTTAGAATAAAATTTATATGTAGCGAAGGCATAATTGGTGGGATATTATGTTGTTAGTATATACGATAAATGTAAAATAAAACAATCAACTTATGATTGAGTAATATATTTGAGGTACAAATATTAACTAATGTTTAAGTAATTGCAACAAATACATTCATTAAAATAATAGTGCATTGTAAATTTGGTAATTCATTTTACAGCACCTTTAAATCTAATGAATATAAACAAATAAATAAGGTTATCTTCCATGGATAAATTTTGTAATAGTTGTTAATTTAGTGGGAATATTAATAGTACTAGTGTACATACAATTCCGTGCGAAATTGTATATATACAGTAAATAATTAATTTTCTTATTTATTGACTATTTTTCAATAAAAAAATGTATAAAAAAACAATACAAATCAAGTCATGATTTTGATGTTGTCTATTCAGAAAATTGCAAGAAATATATTTATAAATTTTAAGTCTCACTTAACATTACCGATAAAAAAAAAAGAAGCAAAACATAAAGAGTATCTTAAGAAAAAAAAAGTTGATTATCTAATATTACATTAGAAATTATACTTTGTAATGGAGAATAAAAGAATTGAAACATATACTATATAATAAAATGTATATTTATAAGAAGTCATGATGTCAATAGTAATTTGATATACACTTATCTACTCGATTATATAAAAATTAAGAAAAATTAGGCGGTTGAGCAAATTTATACTATTTAATTACTCATTATATTTATAATTTGCTATAATTACCACTCACGATTAACATTATACATTAATTATGTGGGCTAACTTCGAGTTTGTATAATAACCACATTTGTATATGTACATATCGCCAGAATATATAAATATATATGTATAATTTAATTATATAAAAATATATCTAATCAATATACATATACAATTGGCCTCTCTCCTCCCTCTACCAATCTCGCTCACCTCTATCATCTCTCACCCACTCTCCTCTCTCCTCTCTCTCCTCCCTATAACAAGTAACTATGAATTATAGTTATCAAACTATATCTATAGAGAATAATTAGACTAATTTTTAGTGACTATATATAAAAGTTACCCAAATTATCATCGAGTGACAAAATATTGATCTTTTTAAAGTACATGAATTATTAAGTTATAGAAAGATATATCAAAAATTGAATCACCGTTTGTTCCTAAAAGGACTGGAAGAGTTTTATGACATTAACCTAACTATTACTGTAGTCATTACTAACATAATAATAATATATGTAATAATTATTCAAGAAAGTAACACCTTTAGTGTGGAAAACTAAGATAGATAATTTTTATTTTAAATAATTACGAGTTACATACTTATTAATCACAATGCACATAACTATAAAATAACTTTTTAAACTATACGTACACGCAAATGAGAATTTTTTTCTTCATTCTTATCATTAAATAATTTATTTATCAATTAAAAATTTTTAAAATACTAAAAAGATGATTTATTTATTTATTTATTTATTTCGTGATTGATATGATAGACCATAACATATATTTTTAGGGGCAATACTATCTAATAGTTATGACAAGTGTATAACAGGTAATATTGCACCTTTCAACAATGACAAAAGAGATAGAATATTAATCAGAAATTGACAAATAGATACACACATATAAAGAAGTGAAAGAATTTTATAACATTAATTTAATTATCATTGTAGTTATCACTAAAAAAATATATACCATAACAACTATTCAAAACATAACTCCTCCTTTAATGTGAAAAAATAAATAGATAAGTTTTGTTTTAAATAATTGTAAGTTAAATGAATATTAATCACAAATGACATTTATTATAGTATAACTATAAAATAACTTTGTATTATATATATACAAATAAATGGGAATTCTTTTTACAAATATTTATTAAATAATTTATTTATGTCTAACCATAGGTAATATTATACCTTTCAACAATGACAAATAATTAAAATATTAATTAAAAATTGACAAACAAATACCCATATTTAAAGGAGTGAAAGAGATTTATAACATCAATCTAATTATCATTATAGGTATTACTAAAAAAGATTTTTGATATATGATAATAACTATTTAAATGATAACTCAGTTTTTAATGTGAAAAATAAAATAAATAATTTTGTTTTAAATAATTATAAGTCAACTATAAATTAATCACAGATGCACATTTATTATAGCATAACTATAAAATAACTTTGAGAATTTTTCTTCATTCTTTTCATCAAATAATTGATTTATTAATTTAAAAAAATTAAATACAAAAAAGACGATCTACTTATTTAGTTTGTGATTGATGTTTAATATGATAGACCATATAATATATTTTTAAATGTAACAATATCTAATAGCTATGAGAAATGTGTTATAGGTAATATTATACCTTTCAACAGTGACTAAGAATTTTAGAATATTAATTAGAAATTGACAAACAGACACACAGAAATAAAAATAAAAATGTGATACTTTTCATTTCTATTCATTCGCACAATAACAATGTTAGTAGATAATTAATCAAAATAAAATTTAAAAAAATAGAATAATATTAATTGAAAATCAAAACAATATATTAATGAACCTTCAAAATATTTAGAAATCATCCAAACTTTTTTATTAATATGACCATCTCTTTTGATCCAACTTCCAAGATAATTAGAACCCATTTGAATTGACTTAAAAGAGTAACTTTTGAGTCAAAAATTAAAAGTCAAACTGAAATGGCTTTTAAGTCAAAAAATAAAAAGTAGGGGGAAACCTACTTTTGATTTTTGATTTATTTTAAAATTTTCTTTTTTATATATTTAACAAACACTTTCAAAATTCAAAAACTGATTTTCAATCTCAAAGGTTTGACGTTCAACTTAGTGAAGTAGTGAGACAGACGATCATTTTGAATGTTTAATCATATATATGAACTCTGTGTAAATTGCTTTTATCAAAATATCTAATAAAAAGGTGTGGCGTTTGAGCCTGAAGAAGGTCCAAATGCGTTGGAATCAATTTTATTATATAGGATAATATTAAATCTTTCTAAAACGTGTTTTAAGAAAAAATTAAATTGAACAACAAATTTAGTTAACATAAAAGTCGAAGATTAAATGCAATAATACATTGAAAATTTTCAATTTGATAGGAGTAAATTGTGTTCAACAATAGAAGGCTTAAAATTGTTGTTGTCACATTCATTTTGATTGGATTTGACTTTTAATTTAAAATAATACACATTTTCATAGACAAGTCAATAAATATATATATATATATATACCAAAAAAACTATTTATGCACCACAATTAATTTAAATTTTTATTTTTTTCCTTTTCATTCAATGGAGTTTTTAGATTAATTCCTACAAGAGAAACAAGATCATCAAGATCAAAGTGAAATATCAAAGAATTGAAGATTCAAGTTTTGATCAAGAAAAAACAAAAACTAGTATGTGGATTGTACAAGAAAATCTTAAGCTTGTATCTTTTAAATACTATAATTGTATTTATCTCATATACTACTGTTTGTTTCTTTTTTATAATGAACTTTATTCATCAACTCGCTTGAAATTCACATTTGATCTTGATGAGTTTGTTTATGGATATTGGCTTAAAAACTTCATTGAACTAACAAAAGAGAAAAAAAGTTCAAATTTGAATTTATTTTGGCAGATGAATTAAGATTTTGAATAATTTAATTTATTTTATCTTTTTCTTCGTTTCATTCAATAGAGTTTTTAGCCTAATTTCTACAAAAGAAACAAGATCATCAAGATCAAAGTGAAATATCAAAAGAATTGAAGATACAAGTTTTTGATTAAAAAAAGAAGCAAAAACTAGTATGTGAAGTATACAAGAAAATCTCAAACTTGTATTTTCTTAATATCGTGATTGTATTTATTCCATATACTAGTGTTTGTTTTTTCTTAATCATGAACTTTATACATCAACTCGCTTGATATTCACATTTGATCTTGATGAGTCTGTTCTTGTTGTTGGATATTGACCAAAAATACTTTATTGAACTAGAGAAGAAAAAAGTACAAATTTAAATTTATTTCGGCGGATGAATAAGATTTTGAATATATATATATAGAGTGAGAGATACACTTGTCTATAAAAAGGTAGATACTAAGAAAGTCAAATAAAACCTATAGATTAGATGTGTGAGTAATCCTACTTATTATTAAAAAAAAAATATGACTAAAAAATAAAATTATTTTTTAAAAAAATCATAAAATTAAAAGGCTTTCTTCAATGCCTTTAAAAGAGGAAGAAAATTAGAAAAATAATGCATGAAGAAAACCTAAGATTTTCTCATGTTTTTCTTTTTCGTTTTGCTCGGGTGTAACAAGAGATAGCAAGAGAAGTAAATAAAAAAAGATAAATATTTTCAATATTTAGCCGCGATATTAAATCTCAAAACGAAACTCCTTACGATAACAATTTTTTCATAAACATTTCACTTTTTTATTGCAAAACACACAGAATGAGGTTTGTTTGTAAAAAAAAAAATGAATGGAAATATCAATATTTATAGGAATGAATTATAATTTCTTTCTCAACATTTATGAGGTATTGGAAGACACAAAACAATCACTTGAATTATGAATCAAATCTTAAAACTCAGACAATCAAAGAGAAAAATGATGGTCTATTCAATGTATGCACAAAAATAGAGAAGTTCTTTGTCGATAGTGACAATGAATATCAAGTTTTGGTCAAAAATGAAAGAGGAAAAATCGATACATTAAGAAAAGAGATGATTGAATTTGATTTTTGGATCTTGAAAGTAATGCGTAAAATAAATGAAATAAGGCCTATATTTGAGTTACCCTTTCTTTTTATAGATTATGACAAAAATTATGAATTGAAATGTTTAATCTCATATGGAGGCTTGATCAAATTTCTGTGGTCTTTTTCTCTTCTTTCTTTTATGTTATTCGAGCTTCTAACTTAATAACTAATACAATGAATTAAATGATAAAAACTAATAATCAATACATAAAAAATATTAATATCATAACTTTACGTTAATATAAAATAAAAATACAATTTAAAGACCTATAGTTAACTCAAAAAGTATGATTTTTTAAATAAAATTACAACAATCAACTGTTTAAAACAAAAAAAGGTGCCAAGTGATAATAGTGAATCCGATAATAAAATATGTAATTTTAATAATAATTGTAAAAATTAAAAAAATAATAAATTGACAGTTAAAGTAAGGTAATTATATTTATTATTAATATCGAAGCTCGAAAATATAAATTGAAAAAAAAATGATCAAAATTGAATGTCAACATTAGTAATACTCCTAATATACGTGTCTTCATGAACTGAATAAATTATTAATTAAAAATATTACGTACCTCAAAAAGTTAATGAGAGACTGAATCTGTGACTGTGAAAAACTCTCATTGGAAGGAGATGAGAAACATCTTGAAATCGCTACTTTTACTTTATATACATATAAAAAAGAAACGGTTAGATAAAAAAGAAGGAAAAGAAATGAAAGAGATAGTTTTAAAAAAAATGAACTTACACAAATTCTTCTCACAACACGATTTGATATGTTTATTAAAATCGCATTGAAATTCATTATATCCATCATCAAGAGTATAACTCTGTAAAAGAGGAAGAGATTACAAACAAGGAAGAAACAAGATGTAAAAGGTGATAAAGGAGGATACTTCCTTTTGCGATTTGAGAAAGTGAACCAGTGAAGACATCAAAAGTTAAATATTGATAAGCAACAAGAAAAAATGGAAGATCATGTTCAAAGATGTCTCGCCGCTTGAGGCGATATGATATAGAGAAAGCGAAGATCACAATAGAAAGCCCTAACTGAGATGATCAATTTATAGAGTTGGCAAATGTCTTTATGGATCGACCAAACTTTGTTTAACTTGTTTGAACTCTGCTTTGGGCTTATTTGAGCTTTTTCTATACATATTTTACATATATGGACCACAAAACATAAAATAATTACAACTTCACAATTCAGCCCAAACTAATTCATCCATACATATTGACTCGAAATAAATTAGTCCGTACCTCTGTTAGTTTAGGCTATAGTTTTCTTCAGCTACCTTTAAATTTAGTCCAAATTTTGCCCCAAATCGTTTAAAATTTTAGGTTTAATTTTGCCCCAATCCAAAAATTTTAGGAAAAGTTACAGAAATATGCATTTTATGTTTCCCTTATTTTCGATATCCCCTTATATTTCTAAAAACCTCTAAAATCTCTTATTACTTTAATGTAATCGAGCTACATATTAATGTATCAAAGTCAGTATTTAATGTATACAAGGTACATATTATGCATTGATTTATTTTATAATGTATCAGAGGTAGTTTTTAATGTATCCGAGCTACATATTATGTATCCTATTTATGTTATAACGTATTTGAGATACACTTTAATGTATCTGAGCTACATAATAATGTATCCAATTTGTGTTACTTTTTAGGATTTAAATGTAACTACAAAATAACGAATTGTAATTTCATATTATAATCATGTGATTCCTTAAATTAATCCAAATTTTTATCACATTATTAGTTATTAAAAAAATTAGTTAACAAAATTAAAACATATTTGTTTAAAACAATTACACTTTAAAATAATTATTAAAATGTTTATATTTAAGTTTTACATCAAATTAAATGTATCCACGTCGTGCAAAAATATTCAAATAATACCTTTCAGCCAAACAAACATTCTCTCTTCAATTTATAATTATCTAAAAAACAAAAATCCAACTCCCTTCTTCTATTGTTCTTCGATTTTCATTCCCCTGTTTCTATCTCCTTTATATGTGACGTTTTCTTTGATTATTTTCAGAAATTGATAAAAATCTCCCAAAAAATATTCACAAAAATCTCATTGACTTTAGGTATGTTTTTTTAAAAAAAATCTATTTTACTGATTTGCATTTCTTTAAACCTTTCACTATATTTGTTTATATAATTGTTCAGTATATCCTCTATATTCGTTTGGATTTTTTTAAGGAAAATTCAAAATTTCTCTCTAATGGCGGACTCAGAGAGGACTACAAGAAGTATATCACGTATTGATCAATTTTTTCGCGATTTTTCATCTTTCGATCTTTGTATTACTCAAGGATAAGTCGATAATGTAGGATCAACGAATAAAAAAGCTGAAGAAAGCAGATGTAAGCATCTATAGACCTTATTCGTATGCTTCCTCAATTACAGAATATAAACATCATCAAGAGCAATGAAAAGAAAAGGAAACAATAGGCTCTTCGTCTTTATATGCATATGTATTTCCTTGTTCCCTTTCAAATTTAAAAAATCTGGAAAAATAATAAGTATTTCCTTTTATAAATTTTTTTAGTTTGGACAACTCATAATTAAACCACAATATATTTATCACGATTTTCATTGGATTTTATACATAAATTTTGTATTCATTCTAACTGTATTCCATCAAAATTTGTAATGTACTATGAATAGTTCATAATATCATTTTGTTGTGGGATACAACATATTTATGTATTTCTTTTATTTGTATGTTTATTAGTTTTATATTTAAGTCATCAAATTGTATTCATCCAAGTGAATACAAAGTTAGTGGTTCATAATAGTATATTCTCTCCCGTGATTTCTTCTTTTCGATATTAACTAATTGTATTCTTTTAAATTAATCAAAAAACGCATAACTCAGCTCTTAACAAATTAAAATACAAAAATTTTAAATAATATGAAACTTTTGCTTAATGGGATTCACTAAAAGCTAAAATATTGTCATTTTGAAAAAAAAAATCGTTATTTTTTTTCTTTTTTCTCATTTATTGTTTTTATCTTATCATTAATTATTTTGTCTTTCTCATTAAATATATATTTATTTTCTATTTTTTTTCATATCATCAATCATTCGAGATACTATTTATTAATATTTTTGTTAGTTTTTTTCTCTTTCTTTCTATATTTTTGCCTTTTAAAGAAAGTAAAATAATTTAGTTCTATTCTTTTCTTATTTATTAGTTTTATTTTCTCTTTTATTCTTCTTCTTATTTATTATTTTTATTTATTTTTCATATTCTAATAGAGATACCATTTGATAACAACTTTTTATTTCTTTTCTTAGTTTTTTCTCATTTTTTCCTCTATTAGAGATACCATTTAATAATATATTTTTTATTATTTCTTTCTCTATTCTTCTCTTTATTTTATTTTTTACTTTGTCTGAGATACCATTTAGTAATATATAATATCATTTACAAATGAGCAATACGTATAGAGTGTGAACAAGAAACCTTAATAATACTACAAAATAATAATAAAATAATATATATGTGTACATAAGCACAATCTTATAGATTATAGTATCATTGACTAATGAGTAATTTCTGAATAAGAAATATAATTATATCACAAAAATATACATATATTGTTATCGGTACATTCACTAACGAGTAATTTCTAAATAAGAAACCTTAATGACACACACATAGAGACACACACTCTGGCGTACACATGTCACTGATGAGTAATTTCTAAATAAGAAACCTTAATGACACACAATTGCTCTCATGCGCGCTTCCCCTTGGTATCGATAAAGGGACTTGCAAGCGCTTCCCGAATAAATTCACCCACCCCCACCCACACCCACATATATAGTATCAATTACACAAAATTAGTTTAGAGATATATCGTATAATTATTTAGTGGACTATGAGTATAAAAGATATATATTTATAATTATTCTGTTTTATGGGATATTTGCTTAATTTTTCCTCTTTTTTTTATGTAATAAAAATGTTTCGAGATTCATTGAAAATTTTAAAAAATCTAAAAACCACAAATCACAAACTTACCTCTAATTTACATAAAATTTACAAATTATTAATTGCCTTTAGAATTCTAAAATTATCAAATATTTTTGTTTACTTTTTATTTCCTCATTTATATAGCTATCCTTCCAAAACAATAACAAAATAAATTTAAAAAATAACACTTTTTATTTTTCAAACCAAAAATACCAATCGATAATACTACTCACATGAACATTGCCAAACAAGGCATTAAATTGCCCATTAGGAAAGAGAAAAAAAAATCACTACTTTGTCTCCTTTTTATCACCTCATACACCTTTAACTTCACTAAAAACCCTAGCTTCCAAACCTTGTTGCCTCCATTTTTCTTCCAATCGCAAAATCCCAATTTTGCTTCGGTAAGTTTTCGTTTTTCTACATTTATTCCTCTTTCTCTGTCGCCATTCTCTTATCAGTTCATTTTTCTCCGTTGTTTTGTGGTTTTTTCTCTATGCAGAATTTGTGTGTTTGAATTAATAGCTGTTTGGTAACTATGTCGGACGACGAGAGAGAAGAGAAGGAATTGGATCTCACAAGTCCTGAGGTCGTCACCAAGTACAAGAGCGCCGCTGAAATTGTTAACAGTTAATCCCGTTTCTCTATTTTTATTTTTTTGGTTTTCAATTTGATGTTTTATGCATTTTTTACATAGCCTATTTGATTTTCTGATTGATAGTTGAAACTTTTGTGGCATCTGATAGCTGAAAGTCTGTTGGTGTTTACTTCCTCTGGTGGAGAATAATCTCAATTATTCATAATTACAAAACTATTACACACCTGAGTAGAACCTAGGTTCATGGTGTGAAGCACTAAGTTTTGTTATTTTGGTTTCGGTTTTGCAGAGGCTCTGCAGTTGGTGTTGTCCGAATGCAAGCCAAAAGCAAAGATAGTTGATCTTTGTGAGAAAGGGGATGCCTTTATCAAAGAGTATGTATTTCTTGGGTTTTCTGTACTTTTAACATATGTAATTTTGACTTGTATGTCAGGAAATGATATCTGTTAAGTTAGCTGATTGAAGAATAAATTGTTGTGCAGGCAAACTGGAAATATGTACAAGAATGTGAAGAAGAAGATTGAGAGAGGTGTTGCATTTCCAACATGTATTTCAGTTAATAACACCGTGTGCCATTTCTCTCCATTGGCTAGTGATGAGACAGTAGTGGAAGAAGGTGATATATTGAAGATGTAAGTTATGGTTACATCACTTTGAGGTGATTTTCATTGTTTATCATGATTCCAGAAGCTACTTTTGATAAAAAAAATGAAATCTCTTTTGACACAGAGCTGCTAAGCTTAAATTCTAGCATCAAGTGCTGATGGCAGGATCTTTAAGTCATAAATAATTTGGTTTTTGTCCAGGTCGAAGTCTTAACTTTAGGCCGTAACTAGTCAATGGATTCAGAGGATTTTGCTGTGATCCTTTTTGATTGTATTGTGAAAATGAGATAAACTGTTCGTGTGAGTAACATGTAATTCTTTTTTGATGCAGTGACATGGGATGTCACATTGATGGATTTATTGCAGTAGTTGGACATACACATGTTCTTCACAATGGACCAGTTACTGGTAGAGCTGCTGATGTCATTGCAGCTGCTAATACAGCTGCTGAAGTTGCTTTGAGACTTGTGAGACCAGGAAAGAAGGTAATGTCATTCTAGATGTTTTCTTTTGTGATACATCAACTAATTACATTTCATTTTAGAGGTATTGACTGATATTTCTTTCTGTATCTTGCTTATATAAAATTAAGGGATTTCTACGTGGAATTGAATTATATTTATTCTTTACTCCCATAGTCTTTTTTGTTTGTTTCCCACTGGCTATTCCTCAATGGGTGCTTCTGTTAACTCAAGTAATTTTACCAAATGGATAGTGTCATCCTACTTTCTAAATGGTAGTAGTGATCTGGTGTTGATGTGCATGTTTTTTTTTTCAATCTTTGCTGCTCCTTTGCTTTGTGCAACATTTCCTCTCTTGCTTAAAAGACCTGCTATACTGCAACTTTTT